TCATTAAAAATGAACCGTTGAGTTTTAAAGAACTTGGATTGCGCCATTAAATTCTGCATGTTTCAAAACCTAGGAAATAGATTTAAAATCTCAAAAAAACTTAAAAAATAAGGTACATACATGCATGCAAACAATTAATCACTCGAAACATAACTTCATATCCCGCACTGGATGTGCAGTAAAATAAACCTGGATATGTAGTATTTTTATGTTTTTTTTGTTCACCTCTTCACACCATTTTTTTTTTTTTAAAAAAAAAAACACTGAATATCCATTTTTTTTACTCCATATCCAGTACTGGATATGAGGTACTGTTGAAAGTGAATTGAAAAATGAGTGAAAAAAATATTAAGAATCAAAAGTTATTTTTATGAAAAATGGACTTTACCATTAAATTCTACACGTTTTTTAGTGTAGGAAACAATTTTAAAAAATCAAAAAAATTAAAATTTTAAACACGGATTGCGCGTGTGCTGTGCCGCAGCAAAAGCGCATCAAAACGCGGAAAATGCGGGTTTTTTTATTTACTTGTTTCCTATTTTTCTTTTTATTTTGATGCTCATTTTTCCTTAATTTTCCATTATTATTCCTTTTTTGATTTTTTCCATCCTTTTTTTTTAATACACATGCTCTTTTGACCCAATGCGTCCAATACGGCCGATAAAATACATGCATCACATCGGTTAAGCAATGTATCGCATTGGTATTGCATTGGCTTTGCAATGCGATACCGATGCGATGCATCCCTTAACCGATGCGACGCATCCCTTAACCGATGCGATGCATCGGTATTGCTAAAACAATGCAATACCGATACAGGGTGATTTATTGCATCGTTTCATTGTTGATATTAATAAATAGTGAGTGGGGTTTTTACAATAGTCTATTACATTAGTTTTACAACTTCCTTAATTCTCAGAACTAGTATATAAGAGGTAAGTAATTACTTATAGACTAGTTACTCTCTATTACTATCATAATCCCTCAGCTCATTCCACTGTTATCCCTTATAATTATAAGGAGCTAGCCCCTCCACTTCATAAGTTTTGAGGCAAGGCTTATTTCCACTGGCCCTCTTGGCTATAGTGTGACCTTTACCCATCAGCTCCTGGTCACATAAGAGACCAGAGCTGACAAAACCCTTCCGACCAGCTGGTATGTACACCAGCTTGTTGGAAGGAATCCTTTCCAACCAGCTGGTTTTCATTGCAGCAAAGCTGCAATTGTAAGTAAAGTCGCCGGGAATGGACTTGGCAAGGACGACTAGATAGAGCAGTCCAAAAAAGAGATGAAAAGATAAGCAGATGAAGCGGCCAAAGAGAAGCTTCACAACCAATCCAATATCAATGACTGAGAGAAAAAGGAGAGACCAAATGTACCCCACACAGAGTCCTTTGTCTCTTGGGCACAGCCAACAACCGGGTGCTCCCAATTCCCGCATTTAAGACTCCTCACATGCTTCTAGGCTGTCAAGAGCACAAAGGCCAACAACAGCTGCTTCAAGGCTGGTTTCATTGAGGAGTGTCTGTTGTGTTTGTCGGAAGAAAGTTGGGCAAGCCGAGGAAGTGACCGCTCAATGCTCTTTTATAGCTGGTTTGTAGATGAAGAAAGCTGGCAGTACATCAACAACTGAGAGCACCTCGTAGATTACCAGAGCGTAGCGGGAGGTTACGGGGTCTGTATAGGATAAGTGGCTCCCCAGGGTAGCGGCAGACTTGGCTCCCGCCAAGAACACCCACCTCGTAGCCTAGGCAGTGGATTTTGGATTACTTCCCGTCAACATCTGTGGGTCTACAAGTTTTGATTTAGAGCCGCAAAAGCTACACCCCAGGGGCAGTTCATACCAAGCGGGATTGTGGAACCAACAAAACTTGGCCAATCCGTGGAACCAACAAAACTTGGCCAATCCGTGGAACCAACGAGATCGGCTCTGTAGGTGTTTGGTAAGAGCCAATTTTCACGGCAGTTCCACAAACCAACTTTTTTTTTGAAGTTAATTCCACAAACCCACATCCGAGCCAATGTGGAGCAGGTGGGCTTGTTACTCATGTTGATTCCATGTCGACCAACATTTGTTTCGGCTCCAATCAGGACCCGCTGATGTGGGTCCTGAGGTTCTGAAAACTCAAGAAAACCGGCTTGCAAAAAAAAACTTACAATTTTTTTGTCATGAGTTAAAAAAAGGAGGGGGTTGAGCGTGTTTAATGGTGGAAAGGTGCACTTCAACTTGCTGATAGCCAAGCGGTGAAGTGCTGGTGCTTGGCATTGGCACCTGGTTTTGTGTTTGATCTGTACCTGTGTTGTCTTTTTGGCAGGCCGGCTGGGAGCACCCGATCTTACAGTTCGATCAATCCAGGCTCCATGGGGACTCCTCCTTGTGTCCACCTTCTGTAAACATGGGTGCAGGGGTGGAGTCCACACCAAACTGTGGACCTTCCGCTGCTGGTCCAACCTGCTGCAGTGGCCACCCGTGGGATCCACCAAAAAAATGGTGTCCGCCCACGTTGTGGTCATTATTCCTGTGTATGAAGGGAGAAAATTCAAAATTTTATTATTTATCATTGAAGGACCCAAGATATAGACAAATGAACGTCAGAAATGGAATCTAAGGCCAATTTAACCCCTAGTCACTCACTGGAACCACCTTCATATCTCTACTGGATCAGAAGTTACACAGAATCAAGGATGTCACACGGAGAATCACAGGATCAGAGGCACTCAGCTGGAGGGTATATTTCATGGGGGTATATTGCATATTGCTTATTGAATTCCTTTTATTCATATTGAATTCATTTTATACTTACAGAACCACAAGTTGGCCACCAGTTGTACCAGTTAAATTCCCATTTATTCAGCCACAGAACACATGAATTCCTTTCTTACAGCTTACATATAAAAGGAATGCGTTGTAGATAGTCTAGACAAAATCCCTCAGGATTTTCAAGCATAGGGCAGCTAAAATGCCTCATACAGGGGGTCCCTTGGGGCTAAAATCCCTCATCATTTACTATATAAGGAGGCCTCTGCCTGCCAGTTGTTTCCCTCCTCATCCCACTGAGTACACATTTTTGGGGGGACACCTGTCACAGATTACACATATTTATTACACAAGAAGTTCACAAGTAGTACAGTTCACAGATTGAAATATATACACAGTCATTTCACAAACATTACACAGAAGAGCCAGTCCTTTTTTCCAGTCCTGGTTGAAGCATAGTGCCCCCAGACCCTTTGGGTTCAAGAACCACCTCTATTACATTATACATATACAGCATCAAGGAAGTAAACAAGTATCAAGACATCAACACAAGAAACAACATCAACAACTCAATCAATTCTTTGGGCAACAAGATCAACCTTCAACAATTATACAACCATCTTTGAACATAATCCATTATCACCAACCAAACTGCCAAGCTTACCTTGGTGGTCTTGTTTTCTGATAATATAGAAAGGCAGAGTTTTCAGCTCACTTCATCCCTTTCTCCATTCAGCAAAAAGGATCTTATAATCACTTTTTGAGTCTTACAATGTTGAACTGCGCCCAAGGTGTAGATTTCCCTGCAAAAATCTAGACTTTTTGGGTCTAAATCGCCAACTGTGAGCGTCCCAGATCCAACGGGAAGTCCTCCAGTCTGTTCCCAATTGGGACTAGGCTGACACATCCTCCTTATCGGGACAAATCCCTTGGCCCTAATTGCCGAAAAGCTCCCCTTTTATGGACCGACCTCTCTCCCTCTCAATCCACTCCCTCCTTGCTCATTTGCATCTGCTCGCAGAGTTAGCTCTTCTTTCCCCTCACCATCAGATAAACCCCCCTTCCCAAAACCATTTGACTGTTATAATCAGCCCCATTTTCTTTCACCACCTGCCCGCCCTGGGTCTGAGATTGTGCCTCACTTGTCAAGCTTGGGAAGCAACAGAATTCCTGCTTCTGGGTTTGCCTTGACTCCGGCTACTCCGCCGGTGCCATAAAAAGTAATACAACTCTTTAAGATGACCTGTACCTTCCTTTGAGTGACACCATGAGGGCACTCCCTGCCCTCCCCTAAAAGGAGAGAGGCAACAATCCTCCCACCTCCCTCTGAGTAACACATCCCCACCACTAAGACACTGCCCCGGCATGGACACTAGGCGCGGAGCATTCCCCGTTGGCTAGCGGGTTGGCAAGCAATATGTTATACGAAATGACTAAATCCTCCAGATCCGGTGAAACATGGAAGCTGAAGGCTGAAATCAAGCAGAAACCTCACAATTGAACAATTTATGATGTGAGACCAACATCTCGGTCCTTTGTTGGCTAAGCATGTTGCCAATCCCACGTTCTGGATGACACGTGGCTAGTCACAAAAAAAGCAAATGCGTCAAAGATATGAAAGAAAAAAATGGAACAAGAAGGCCTACATTGGATTATGAAAGAATTGAATTTTAATATATCATCAATACTTATGTCCAAAAGTTATCAGCAAAAAACGGACAATGCCATTTTTATTCTGATTTTCATGTGGAGAGTAAGTTTTGGATGAGCACCTCCCCCTTTAGTCAAGTAAATTTATTTCATTGGTCATGTCAACAGATGTTAATTCAATCACAACATTTGCATAGCATTCAACTCACAAAAAAGGGGGGTTTTCCAGTTGTAGAGACAGCTGACAGATTCATTGTAAATTCCTGCGTGTGTGCTGGTCCTGCTTCTTTGCACTTTGTAGTGCGATTTCTTTCCATGATTATGAAAACTTTGGGTTTTTAGTGATTTATCTTTGATTAACATATCAACTGCAAAATATATGAACAATGCCCGGCAAATGCTATATACAAAGTTCAAACACACACACATATATATATACAACAAAAGACACAGTTTTTCTCTGGGTTTTTTCTTCACGAAGTAGCGCTTTACATATTAATTTATACGAGGTTCTCTTCTAGCATATTGAAGTGCCATCAAGACTTAAATATTTCCAGTCGGATAATAAAAAAGAAGAAGAGGAATTTGAGTATTAGGCAAGTTTCTTTTCGATGGGGTTTCCAGATTTAGGAGGAGGAGCGATTTGGACAGAGTCGGGGATCTGATGGTCCTCAAAAGCGGCCCCACAGATCTCGCTGATCTGATGGACGGTAGAAGAGGAGCTATAATTGAATTCGATCCCGACTGGGTCCTTTCGAATCGCGTCAATCATTGTTGCCGATTTAGTGACGATCGCATGTCCACATGGGGTACAGTAAGTTTCCTTTTCATATGGAGGTGAAGGGGGAAACGATTATAAGCTTGTCAGTCTAACTATCTCTGATTGATATGGTCTTTTTCTTCGAGATCCAAAATTTCACATACCTTTGGAACAGACATAAACGCTCGATCCGCCTTGGTCAATTTACCGGTGATTAAGGAAACCACCTCTCCCAGAGTTATTTTTTCGCCGCTTTGGGATTCAACATCACCCAAGACCGAAGGTAGACAATAGGTAGAATTTTGCTTGTACTGAGTGCAAAACATATCCCTGAATGATTCACAGAGAAAATGGAAATGGAGACGAAGAAGAGGGAGTTAATTCAAACTGATCCCAAAAAATATATGAATAAATGAACAAATAGGAGTCTACGCTTCAACTTACCTGGTGACATCGTAATGTGTGAGGATACTATACATAGCTACTGCCGCAATAGATCCTTCTTGTAAATCGCTCGCACAACCGGTCTTCATCATCTGACTGGCTTTGTCCAAGCTTTGCTTAGAACATGGCTTTGCAGAACAAGCTCCGGAAACCCAAGTCTGAAAGGTGAAAATAAGAAGTATGGGGGTTAGACTATGGCGTTTCAAAATTGGGAAAGGGGGGGGGGATAAATGACTTACGTTGATGGGAGAGACAAGAGAGTCTTTGGCTTCAAAGATCGAGACCAATCCGAGTATATCAGCGCAACTTTCGAACTCGTCGCCCAACAATCCAGAAGCAGCGAGTTGACAAGACGGGGAGAGCTTAGCAGCGGTCCGGGCCAAAGACAAGCCTTGTGGGGCTGGACCGCTGGAGGACCGTGGTCGGTTGGCTGGGGTGCCAGACGGATGAGCGTTGATTGCGTTTTGGAAACTCATCAAACACATCAGGACCGAGATAAATTGGGTGGAGAATGCCATCGTAGAAATCTTGTTAGAAATAATATTGGAAATCGAAGTTTATCCGTAATTCGTGCTTGATTTTTGGGTCGGTCGGATGGACTGTTTCAATAAAACTCTTGTGTCTGAATGATTCTCTTGAACTCGAAAAAAACAAACGGCGATAAGATAAGCTGGGAAAAAACAAAATCAAAGACGAGTTTAAGCTGCTATTTGAGCGAAGTCGTTTGTGGGTATGTGGAAGAATGAGCTATGTATAAAAATGGGAACTGTTTGAGAAGGGCAAGCAATCCAGTTGCAGCGGAACAAAGACACAGGCAAATTCAAAGAGTTTTTAGCTGATTGGAAATTTGAGTTGAAGCAGATGAGATTATAGCACACAAGGATATACAAGATGGAAGAGTTGAGTGAGGAAAGAGATTGATTGACTGACTGAAGTCGGTCCATTTTATATCCATCCAAGAATAATTCTGTAAGAGAAAAACCTACGGAAAGCCAATATTGATTGGAAGGTGAGTCGAGGAAAGCTGGACAAGAAACGGACAAGGCATGGTGAATCGTCGACAGACACTATGGACAAGGATGCGGTGAAGATTTGTTGTTCGCTAGGCATTTGATCATGCTGGGCATCCAACAACCGTGATCCGTTCCACCATGGAAAAAAATGCCTGGAGTAAACCCAAAACGCAACATGACTTGTTGAGGTATCGTTGTAGGCTTAGCTGCAAGTTTTCTATGCTCAGCTGTACCTGGCATGCGTACCCATCGCAGTTGGCATTAGGGCCCACTCTGCAAGAAACTTGCGAGGAACATAAGGGCCTTCAAAGACTTGCCAAGTTGCACCCAAATCTATGCGTTCCTTGGCCATCTTGAAACTTACCACCTGAGCTTGTGTTGCACTCGTATTATGCCTTGCCCATGACAAGCACTTGAAGACCCCACACAATCATCCTTTGAATATCTCGACGGCATTTTTTTTTGAGCGCCGAGCCATTACAATGAGCGCCATACACCGACAACCTTCGAAATAAAAAAATCATGTGAACATCTACAGGACGTCCTGACCTGACTGAGCGAGCTGATCTTATTTCGGTGTTGTCATTACGATCTATGATGAAGCAGTTGGTCTTCACATTTTTGTGAGATCTCACCAGTTGGTCGCCGAGGAGTCCTTCTCCGGCCAATAATATTTGGCGCAGTACATAATGTAGCGAGAAAGTGTGCTTCTTCGGCGACTAGGCACAAGATGCATCATTCACCGGGGAGGCATCATCTCGGCGACTGGATACACCATGCACCACTCGCGGCAGAAGAATAGTAAGGACCCGGAGGCGAGTGAGTATGAGCACCCCACGCACTTGGCAATGGCCATTGCCTAGAACGTTACCGTGGTAGCTTGGTAGAACATGTAGCACTCGGCGTGGAGCATTCCCGCCTTGGCTGATCACGGGTAATACAGGCTCGCCGAGATGAGAAATCTCAGATCCCCGGCGAACGGTACGCTTATAAGGATGAATGCTGCTGATCATGTGCCCGGGCGATCGACATGGAAGCGGAAGGTCAAAATTGAGGGGCAACCTTCTAATTGAAAAAGTTATCATGATGAGGTACTCCCAAAATCCGGGTCATTCATAACCAGATGATATTTTCGCTTGACCGTTCCGCATGACTTTCGGCCAGTGACAAGGCCAAAAAAAAGAGAAAATGTAATTTGAAGATCTGAAAGCAAAAAATGCCAACAAAAAAATTCCTCGACCGCATTATAAAAGAATTGAAGTTGAGGATGCGAGCAGATATGAATTATATAGCCGACAGCATATTGCTAACTGTTATCTCAGCATTTTCTTCCCATTGATGTTAATGTGGGCATTATAAGCCATTGAACAAATTCCCCTTATTCCTCTGTACATAGTACATCTTCTATGAGAACACGAGAGAACACGGTGATCTGAACAAAGGACCAGGTTGGCCTTTGTTTCTCTTTGTTTTGACCCAGGTTTGCAATGGCACGATTCCTCATGAGTAAAATGAGCTAGAAACGCAATCCTCATCAGTTGCGGTTGCTGATGGACTGATCCCCCATATATTGTTGCTGACCCATGTCAAAAGGATATGTTGTTCTGGTTGAAGGGGAGCGCGTTGGACTTGTTGAGTTGTGTTGCTGAGCTAATCAACTGATTAGCCAGGATGATGACTCAGCTTAGCTAATCCACGCCGCAGCAGCTTACCTAATCATCGATATTTTTGAGATAAAAGTTTCTGCGACTTGCTTGTTGACCGTCTGGCGTCTTCTCAGACTCCATCCATCTCCTCATCATCAGAATAAGAAGAATGGGTTCATCAACAACCTCGAGCAGACTGACCAACGAAGAACACCAACTATCAGCATCGATCAACTACAAGTTCCCAGATCCAACCGACCCAGATCAATTCAATGCACTCCAGCAACCAACAGCAGACTCACTAATCGAATCAGCAATCAGTATGACTAATAACACCGAACCAGAGCCTCAGAGTGATGAAACTACAGAATGGTCAATCCTATCCCTCAACCCAAAACAAGTCATTCCAACAACCGACCAACAACAGGAGAACCAAATCGGCCATGAACCAACCACTACTACCCAAGCTGGTTCATCTAAACACCCTACCCAAGCTGCTTCGCCAGAAAAAGCTACTGAACCTTCTTCACCAGAAGAAGCTACTGGACCTTCTTCACCAGAAGAAGCTACTGGACCTTCTTCAACAGAAGAAGCTACTGGACCTTCTTCAACAGAAGAAGCTACTGGACCTTCTTCAGCAAAAGAAGCTACCCAAGCCGCTTTACCAGATCAACCCCCGATCCCTAAAGCTGATGAACCACACAAATGTCAACAGTGGGTCGAAAACTTACCAGCCCATCAATCAGGAGCACTTCTCGCTGAAAATTCGATGATGGAAAGTATCATTCAAACCGTCCTAACGAATTCTGACCAAGAGAAATCAGACCACCCTAACGAAGTGAGTATGTATTTTACTGAGAAAAAAGAAGAAGAAGAAGAGAGTCCTTACTAAAATCTTGTTCTCTCTTTTCTTCACGATGTACATAGATACTACATTCTAGCCAAACAACCTCAGAACTCGGCCCAAATGACAGCGCATCTCAATGTGTGTACCACCGACCAGAACGAAGGAACCTCGGAGGATTATCGGAGCATCCGACTGTCGAGCCCTCGATCGAGGGCATCGAGGGCCCTACAGAAAACTTATTAGACCCAGCCATGGACCTCTCATCTGCCTATCTAGATCCAGAGCAACTCTCCATGCTCTCAGTCAACTTACCTCCCAATCCACCTCCATCCATAAACTCGACAGCTCCTTCATTGGTCATCCCTCCTCCGCGTGCCCCCTCTTCTAAGCCGGCTTCATCCTCTACCTCTTCTCGTCAATCATCTGCTGTTCGATCGACCCCGTCCTCCCAAATAACCGAGCCCAAACGTTACCCTACCAAAACCATCTCGCTTCTCCTACTCTCTATATTTGCAATCTTATCATTCACATATTGGCAGTACTACCTTCAAAATTTTTACAACGTCGCAATCTTTCACGGCCCTACTCATACCCTTTTCCAAGACGCGAACTTTGAACCTACTAGTGCAATTGAAAAAGACTCTTCAATTGATCCATTATCCATCGAAACCGTGCCCATTATCACAAACGATCAGACTTTCGACACTGACCAAATTCTTCAAGTTGACGCGTCCCAAGCTCACAAATCATCGTTATCGTCGTCACCCCCTCAGCCTCAAATCGCACATGCTGCAATTTCCTACCCAGAACAGCCATTGATGATCTCCTCACCCCCGCTCGAAAATCATTCAGAGAATCTCGTCGATCCGCCGGTGTTGACGCGTCCGGATGAGATCATCGATCCAATGTCTATTCCGGCTCCAGCTTCGAATCAGCCACCAGTCTTGGTCCATGATACCCCAGAGAATCAATCTCCAAATAGCTATGAAGTACCAGATTCAAACTTGGATCGATGGATCCTAGGTTTGGCGATCATCAGTATCACCTCCTTGCTCATTCGACGCGTGAAATGTTTCAGAGGAGAATCGACGGAAGAATGGAGTGTAGACCAATTGATAGCTGGATTAGAGACGCAGGATTGTGCTATTTCGATCAAACAATTACAGCACAGTTTAGCCAAGCTATCCAAGGATGGAGCGGAACTGGCACGATTCACGAAGGTCCTCAAGACTCGAGTACGAGCGCAAAAGTCTCCACAAGTCGAGATGGGACTCTTAGCGTGGGCCCAAGCTGCGAATGGAGAGCTTGAGGGATCACAAACGATGTGGATAAAGTTTTGGGAACTTGCAGCTCTTCAGCACAAAAAATCCTCTCAATCTGGTTGGCTAGACTTGCTCGAAATCCTGGGACAGGATTATCGAGGTCTGTCTCGAAAGCAAGAAGACAATGACTGCGGATCGACCCTCGACTCTTCCTCAACATTGACCGAGAAACCGACCCTTGATTTTACCCTCAAGTCCGACCCTCAACTCGACGATCCTTCTGTCACTAATCAGTCCGTTGTCGACAGAAAAGCTTTTGTCAAACTTGAACACCCCTCAGTCTCCTCTATTCTCCTCAAAAATGACCATGGCGAGGAGAAGGTTTCCCCAGATCAGATCAATAATGGAACCCGGACTCGCAGCACTTCTAAACGTAAATCTAGTCTTGGACCAAACACGCGACCCAAAAAACAACTCGTTATCAAAGAAGAAGAACAAGAACCTGTTGTGCTGGATTCAGAAGTATTGCCTAAGAAGACGCCTAAGGCTCGACAGTCTAAGAAGAAGGTTCAAGAGGATGGTTATGACGATCTTTCATCTGATCTCACTGTTCTTTCTCCTGTTGCTGCTTCCTCTGCTGCTCCTGCTCCTGATGCTGGTGCTACCGCTCCGGTTGTCCACCCTAAAAGTACACCTAAACCTAAGAAGACCAATTCTACCCGTGCTGCTCGGAAATCAGAACCTATCAGTAAACAAGCCGTACCATCTTCTTCTACTTCCCGGGCTTCTCTGGCTCCTGCTTCTCATCCAGTGAGATCTAGTCCCCGTTTATCTAACAAAAAAATCATAGGACCTTTTCCTTTCTTTTTTCCATAGTCTTTCTTTCTCTCTCTCTCTTTCTCTTTCTTTCTTTCTCTTGATTGTCTCTTCAAATCCAGCTTTTTTTCTTTGTTCTTTGTTTTTGATCAACTTATGGTGCTTGGTCTCTTTCTTCTCCTTTCTTGTTGTTGCTGTTGTTGTTTTAGATGTATCTTTGTGTGTTTTTTTGTTCTGTTCAGTTTTAGCTTTTTTGAGTATCTATGTAAAAGTTATGTGTCTTGTTCTTCTTTCAAAGAATAACTTGGGAAGGAGTTTTTAAGTAAATATGTTCTTGATTAATCAATTTCTACATAAAGGGTGTTCAAAATTGATCTCTGAAATACTTCCTGCATAAAATCATAAGTCCCACATGTTCAAAACATCAATCTGATCAAAACCTCAAGTTTCTCTCCATTTGGGACCTTTCTCAAACCTTTTATAAAGGGGCTTGGTTAAACAACTCCCAAAAATTGGAATCCCTCTTGGCACTTGAGAGTGGACACCTCAATGGCCAAGAAGAATTCTCTCTGCTGTCAAGACTGTACACCTCAATGGCCAAGGTGGTTTCCCTTGGCCATTGAGAGTGTATACCCTTGACGGCCAAGAGGGTTCAGGTAAAAATTCTTGAAAACTTGAACCCTCTTAATTTGAAGTTTAGAATAATCCACTTTTTTTTGCTAACATAACTAAGCACCTCCCTCCTACTGCAGAGTGGTAAACCAATAGTAGAATTGTGCCAAATGGAGGGAGTGACTTACAGGCCAAGTCAACTTGTGGCCCTAGAGAATTAAATTTTTGGTGGGAACTTTTCTACAACAAGCCTTGCTCACTCACCTCAAGTGGATGAATGTGTTAATTTTTTGCTTGCTTATGATGAGCAAAGCCTCCTTTTTTAATGTACTGTTTTCATCTATGCTCAGCCCATTTACTGTCTTCAAAATTATGGTTGTAATTTCTCATGTTTTGGATTCTGTGCACTGCAAAATGTGAAATAACAGATCAAGCAGATGGAATTTGAGATACAAATAAGAACACTGAGTGCCACTCCAGGCCCAAGAAAATTGAGGGAATGATGGAAAGATTCTCCTTCATTGTGTGCATTTTTTGTTCCCTAATCACACAATGAGATGTGGCCATGCTAAAGAGGATTGAAACATTCCAGTTTTAAAACTCTCTCAGGTTGTGGGGTTCACTTAGCCCACAAGTCCCTAATTCATACAACACTGTTTTTTTGAAGTAAACAGGTTTGTGCTCTATAATGCATGCCTTATGGAATTTGTTTTATTTCATTTTTTTTTCTTTTCCTATCTCTTAACAGTAAAAAAAGAAGAAAGCAAATGAATTATGTAGAAGAAGGACCACATTCTTTACCAAAAAGCTGGGACTCAATTTTGTTTTGGTTATTGCACTTGATGGATTAATATTTTTTACTTGATCAATTTGAATTTTTTTATTCCACAGTTATCCCACAGCTTCTGATGAATTAATGACCAACTTAGGTCAGGATTTTTAATGAGAAGAAAAGATAGTGAAGAGGATCTCACTGGAATGGCACAGGTTGCAAAGACTGAAGGAAGAACAGATGATGTTAATATTGCTTGATGCAGAATACTTCCAATATACTAATTGCAAGCAGTAAACAAGTGGTTGATAAGAAATTGAATAAAAATCAACAATGAATAAAGTTAAAGACACTATTTAGATATTTTCTTACGAGATTAGAATGAACAGATTATAGCTACAAGGCAAGGTCTCTTTGGATTAAATGACTGTGAAAAGCTGCTACTATCATACTAATAAAGATTCAATGACAAATGGTTCAACTTTTATTCAATTGAATATTTAAACAAAACAAAACATAAAAAAAAGGTTTCCAGGAAAGAGCCAAAAAAGGCAAGATTTCAACACCTTAAATGTCCCTTGTCAGCTAATTCAAAATCTCAGTACTTTTGGATTGCCCCTCCATTGTGGCAGAGTAGAGATGTCAGCAGGTACCCGTTTGCAGGTACCCGGTACCCGTTTGCAGGTACCCGGTACCCGTTTGCAGGTACCCGGTACCCGTTTGCGGGTACCTGTTTTCCAAAGCAGGTACTGGGTGCGGGTGCGGGTGTCAAAATTTGCAGTAAAAACAGGTGTGGGTGCGGGTGGAGGTGTCAACATTTGCGGTAAGAAAAGGCAGGTACCCGGGTACCCGCCCTGGGAATGCTTCCCCTGAAGAATTTAATTTATCATTGGTGGTCCAACACTCCCTTTTTTGGGTGTGTTGGGCTGCACAAAGGTGTCAGCAACCCATGTAGGACACCAGCTGGTGTCTTACATGTGTTGCTTTGTTGAGGAGGCCGGAGGGAACCCTCCGGCCTATGAGATGGTGTACAGTCTTGATGACTGGAGGAATGCCTCCAGTCATAAAGACGGTGTACAGTGGGTAGACCGTTATTTTTGGCTGCCTGCTTTGGACCCCAGAGCTCCAAAAAAACAGACTTGAAGTTATGAGACTTGTTCAGGTGGTGCATAATAGGTCCCAGAAAATGAATATGAAAAAATAAAAACAAAAAGTAAAGTTTCAAAATTTGTGAAAAATAAAAAATAAAACTCATTTTTTTCAAAAGCTTTGATATTCATTTTGGGGGAGTGGGAGTGCTGAGAGAAAGAAAGAGGGGAACATTGTAAGAATGATTATAAATGAAAAAAATTGGAACCAAAAAAGGTTTGGCCAGGTTGGTTGTCCAGATTGGAGCCAAAACAGTAAATACTAGTGCTTTACTGCAATGTGGGTTGGTAAATGCCCCAATCAACAGCTCTTTGAAGCCATCTGGAAAGCAATTTTTCCAAAATTTTCATTCATAATCATTCTTCTCATATCCCAATCTTCCTTTCTCTCAGCACTCTGACCCCCCCAAAATGAATTTCAAAGCTTTTGAGAAAAACAAATTTTATTTTTTATTTTTCACAAATTTTGAAACTTTGTTTTTTGTTTTTATTTTTTCATATTCATTTTTTGGGACCTATTCTGCACCAATTGACCAAGTCTCATGACTTCAATCTGGTGCTTTGAAGCTCTGGGATCCAAAACAAGCAGCCAAAAATAATGGTCCACCCACTGTACAGTCTTCATCAATGGACATTGAATAAGGCAAATGAGGCCAAGCAAGAGGGTAAGGCTAAAGATAGATCAGAGATAAGATAAAATTCAAATTGGTGATGGAATAATTTGTTTTGGGTCTTAGTTAAACGACTCCCAAATATTGGAGTTTGGACTCCCAAATATTTGGGACATCGCTAAGACCCCCTGCGGACGGTCTGCAGGCCGTCCACCCCCCAGAGATGGGAGTTGGACCTGCCAAACCTTCAACAGGTTTGGGAGTCAATCCTCCCAAGAAAAAATAAAAATAAAAAGATAAAAAAATGAAAAACCCCGGGGGTTTTTGGGAGTCGATCTTCAAAAACCCCCAGGGAGGTTGGGAGTTGGCGCTGGACTTGACTCTCAGCGGCGGAGAGGAATCCCTCTCCGCCTTTGAGAGTGTATACTCTCACCGGCCAAGAGGGATTCCTCCCAGCCGCTGAGAGTGTAACTCTCACCGGCCAAGAGGAATCCCTCTCCGCCGTTGAGAGTGTATAGCTCTCAGCGGCCGAGAGGGATTCCTCCCAGCCGCTGAGAGTGTATACTCTCACCGGCCGAGTACACTCTCACCGGCCAAGAGGAATCCCTCTTGTTCGATGAGAGTGTACACTCTCACCGGCTTGGAGGAATCCTCTCAGCGGCCAAGAGGGATTCCTCTCAGCGGCCAAGAGGGATTCCTCTCAGCGGCCAAGAGGGAAGCGGCCAAGAGGGATTCCTCTCAGCGGCCAAGAGGGATTCCTCTCAGCGGCCAAGAGGGATTCCTCTCGGCCGGTGAGAGTGCCAAGAGGAATCCCTCTTGGTCGACAAGAGTGTACACCCTCACTGGCCAGGAGGAATCCCTCTCCGCCATTGAGAGTGTATACTCTCAGCGGCCAACACAGATTCCTCCCGGCGGCTGAGGGTGTATAGCTCTCAGAGGCCGAGAGAATCCCTCTTGGCCGCTGAGAGCATACACTCTCAACGGCGGAGAGGGATTCCTCCCGGCCGGTGAGAGTGTACAGTCTCCTCCCAGATGTTTATGTCTGGGGGTGAACTGTCACAAGTTGACTGCACCCGCGCACTAAACTGCAGTGCGCCGGTGCAAGTCAACCTCTTCATCGGCCAACAACTCATCAGAAAACAACCTCACTCATTGACGATTGATCTCGGAACAAATTTGATTGATTTTGGAACGACCTCGGTTGACCTCGGGATGAATTCGATACACGCCAATCAGACATCAACCGGTATTTCTATTGTTTTTCTTGTTATTTTCTTCTTTTTTTTCTCTTTCTGAGTTTTTTCTTCTGTTCTTCATTCATTTGGAACAGGAACAATTTGATGGGACATATCCAGGGACATTCCAACCTCACGACCGAGCAGAAGGCTCACATCGACAGGATGTCTCATGGGCGAGTTGCTAGGATTGTGGGCTCCGGACAAACAACAGTCCCTGTGATAGTTTCATGGGCTTGGACTCGTGGGACTGTCAAAACCGCTGAGAAGAGTGGCCAGCCTTGATTGAATAGCGGAATGCGTCTGGTTTTGGAGGCCTCTGGTGGGCCAATCAAATATTTATTTTTTTATGTTTATTTTTTATTTATTTTTTATTTTTTTATTTCATAATCATCATCCCCCACCTTTCAGCCACCCTCTCCACTCAATTTTGTATTTTTAAAAAAATTATTAAAGAAAATAAAAAAAGTTGAATGATGCTTTTATTTTTTTGAAATGTAATGAATTTTGCTTTTTGTTTTTTTTTGTTTCATATTCCTTTTTATCATCCCCCTATCCACCACTCCACAAAAAGTCAGAATTTCACATGTGATAGTTCTTTTTTGAATGAAGTAATTGATGTGTCATAAACATCTGGGAGGATACTGTACATGAGAGTGTACTCTTTCACCGGCTGAGAAGAATCCCTCTTGGTCAATGAGAGTGTACACTCTCATCGACCAAGAGGGATTCCTCTCCGCCGCTGAGAGTCCAGCGCCAACTCGCAAACTCCCTGGGGGTTTTTGAAGATTGAATCCCAAAAACCCCCGGGGTTTTTCATTTTTTTATCATTTTTTTTTTTTTTTTGGGATGATCGACTCCCAAACCTGTTGAAGGTTTGGGAGGTCCGACTCCCATCTCCGGGGGTGGACAGCCTGCGGACTGTCCGCAGGGGGTCTTAGTGATGTCCCAAATATTTGGGAGTCGGAACTCCAATATTTGGGAGTTGTTTAACTAAGACCCTTTGTTCTTCTTTATTTCTTTATTTCTTTATTTTTATTTTATTCTTACTCATATATCTGGTGAATATCAATCTTATATTTACCAAGTCATGCAGAAATCCAAGCGTGAGATTTCTGGGTATATTTGCCTGCAAAAATGTGCCAGGTACCCGCAGGTAACCGGCACAGGTACTCTGGTACCCGCCCTGGAAGCCCTAGCAGGTGAGGGTGCGGGTGTCAAAAATATTGGATTTTTGAGGCAGGTACCCGCACCCGCTACAGGTACCTGGGTATCAAGTGACATCTCCATGGCAGAGCAGAGCAACTGATGGCCTAATTAAGCAGTGGGTATGATCTACAAATCTCTCTAGTTCCAAATATTAACTTAGTATTAGGGGTATCAAATATAGGAAATCCACCATTAGAAACCAGTCACTTTTACCAAAATTTTCTTTTTGCATCAATGGGTCCCAAAAGCGGTTAAAGAAGTAGCATGTTTAAAAAAGGTTGGATTTTTCCAAACCAGGCAATTGAATAATGGTGGATTTGATTATATTTGATACCCCCTATTTAGTTGGGTTTACCTCAAGATCATCTACTGAAGCATGGTAGCTCTGGAGTTGGTTTTACCCCTGACCCTTATCTGATAGCTTATTTATTTTCTGGTTTGATTTTCTATGGATTATTTTTTTTTCAACATCAAGCTTTTTAATTAACATAAGAGCAGCAATGATAAATTGGATCTTTATTGGAAAATAATTCATCAAAATGGGGAAAACTTGGAGCACATTCCAAGATAATGAGAGAAAAAATGTCAAAAATATTAACTTGTAACCTTGGTTTAACTAACCTAATGTTGTGGGTTTGAGAGGAATTTATTTTTGAATGTGATGGTTTTTCACTCCATCAGCTTATGTTTTTAGAGGCTCTTGTCTTATGAATGATACCCCAGACCATTTACACCAGCTTGAATCTGCAGACTGGATTTTTCATAGATATTTGGGAAATTCCCATGCAAAAGATTGAGATGAAGAAATTTAGCTTGTACACATAAGTTAGAGTTTCAGCCAAATTTCTCTTTATGTTTCAACTGCAGTCTTTGATCTTTTTAAATTTGGGCCTAGATCCTAAGCAAACATTCCGGAATTTCCAAGGAAGAAGAAAGATCAGCATCCATGTGACTCGTGAGGTTGCTGATGAATGCTTGTTTTGAACCAGATTAATGAAAGTGCCCCTATCAGTCAATGTATTAAAATATTTGCTGCTGTGAAGAGCCAAGCTGATCATCCAGTTATTTTCTTTACAAAGACAGAGGATGATTTTCATCTAATTTAATATGACATCATTTTGAATGTGTACACAGTCTGTGTTTGATGAACCCAAAAAAACAACAAAGAAATATTCTACAATTGGAAAGAGAGCGGTGGAATGAAAGGCAATCAACAATTGGGGGATTAGGAACTGTGGCTGGTAGTGGTACTGCGGCTGGTGATAGTTACATGTCCATTGGGTCCCTCAGCCCCTTTGATATTCACAATACCCCACTGCACAAAGAGTATGTTGAAGTCAGTTGTTTATTCAGCTGAAAAATGCAGGAATTCTGACGAACCTGTGAATCACAGGTGTTCATCATAGTATTCACCACATCCAGAGAGTCCTGTTTTTTTCTGTTCGATCCACACAGGGGGTCAGTATCATTACATACTCTAGAAAGCTATTGTATCACTAAGACTCAAACACTGACACAAGAACGTTTGTTCCATCGGTTGTGTAGACAGTTATCTAGTGACACAATGTGAGTAGAATGTCAGTTAAGCTGTCCCCAAATTCAACGAAGAAAAACCGCTGTAGTTGCGGAGGTAGGCTTGGGTTCAAGTTTACTTACACTGCATGATTTGAATTTTAAATGAAGTGAGTTTGCTAGGCTTTTCGTCTCTGGATTAATCAGATGACCTTGCTCATCCACAGGAAACTGGTTGTATGCGCTAACAGGCCAAAGAGGTAGGTCTGATCAGGGGCAATTCAAGCAAAGGAAACAAGTGATCTTGATGAAACTTACTCCAGACAATCCTGCTTTACAGCTTTGGTTCCGTGGAAACAGAAGGGTTTCCCTAACTCAAAATCCGGATCGTATGGGATTTGCGATTCTCGAGGTTCTTGGCGTGGAGTGACCCAGACCTCAACATCCTGGTTGTCTTTGATGCTAACATAACCGCTCTGAACATCAAAAATCATGATATTGGGTCAGTCACTGTGCTAGATCTAGATAGAAACTCATCTTCTGGGAGGTAGTGCTCACCTTACAAGCCGTTAGAAGCGCTGAGACAGTGTCCCCGATTTGCTTTTTGGTGCTAAGAATTAAATGTTTGTTCAGATCAAAGCCTAAACTCAGCACTGAGAATGCCCACTCACACAACAACTCGTTTTTGATTGTAGATATATATCTAGTAGGAGAAACAGTTTCCGCTCAGCATGAGTGATAATCTTTTTCTTTGTGGGTTGATTAGATAGAAAAAATGGCTCACAAGGCAGGCCCCGGAGACAACAGACAGCTTTGTTTCTAGCCTATCAAGGATGTCCTTGTCATAGATGATTTTGGACAGAGCACTGGTAAAATAGGTTCAGAAAGTGTCAGCTGATCGATCAGATAGACTTCCCAAATTCCTTGATAGCCAGCCGCGATAGATGAAATGAGGGGAAACCCAACAGAAAGAGACAGAAGCGTACTCGTTACATTCCTCCTTTTTGACTTCCTTTTTTTCAAGGCATTGTGGAACTGTGAGATCCTCTGGTCTTCTGACGGGGTGGCTTCCAGCTAGGACTTGTAGGCCAATCAGCGAGATCAAAAGAAATTGAAACAAACCCATTTATGTTATGTTATGATGTTTCAAAGGTGCTAAAGAATGGGTTGAAAATCTGAAGGAAGGAAAAGTCTTTTTAGAAGATGTTATAATCACAATACATACAAACTGATTGAGAGATGGGAGGAAGAGGAAAGGGTCGTGGTGACCAATAATGTCCTTAAAAGGTCTAATAAATCCACTACACAATGGGGGAATTTGATCAAAGTTGGATCGCCCCACTCATACCACAGTTTCCAGGTCGCCAACAAGATCACCTCCTCACATGGCGCTGCGACTCAAAGTCTCTGAGACACCGTAAATAAGTCTTGGTCCTCGGTTTAGAGGGCACTGTTCCTTCGGGACACGGGGGCATCCCCTCCGTTCGAGAGAGTTATAGAGTCTGGCATATCCAGCAGGACAGCCCAGGTCCGAGGAGTGCAACGGAGGCTGGCGCGACTCCACTCCGTGACTGAAAAGTCATGGTGACCCATCCACAAGTCGTCGCCGAGGCGGTTACAATATAGGTCCGGGGACTCGGGAGTGCTCTTGTGTCGGATCCAAGGGGTTGGCAGCGCATCAGTGACATTCCATATCCCGGGCCGGCTTCATTGCGACCAAATTGATCCATTGGTAGCTACAACCTGTGTAAATTTTCTATCTTGATTGAGATGGTCTGAAGTAATCTCATGTATTTGTCTTTTTACTTATCAGCTGATGGAAAATTCAATAGAGCACCCAAAAATTTGAGTGAATTTTGATGGGAGTTTGAATATGACCGATGAAGTCAAGAATAAGATTTCCATGAAGGCTCACATGAGTATGATTTTTTTCTATGTCAGGATCTCTGAGCTGGTTGTGATAGTGCAACCAAAGTTGACTATGACATGAAAGCTGGTCTTTGTATAAGTTCTAACCAATGTAAGTCTATCGAAAAATGATACCCTCTGGGTTGTTCTTAGAAGTTTTGGATTATTTTACTGACCTTGGAGATGATGAAGTGCAGTTTGTTTTCAGGTTCATGAAGGGGAGAGTGGGTGCATGGGACCAAGGGCCTCTGCACATGATAAGGATCGAGAGTGAGACATGTCACAGACACGATCGCCGGACTCTTGGTTCAAGCCGTGACACTCTTGCGTCACTATCCTTCCTCTTGACCAAGCAATCCATCATCACCATCTACTACTACAACCCACCTGGACACCAACAGAGAACAACCATCCAACACATCGGAAAAAGCTATCAACCATACTAGTACTCTCATCTTCTCATCATGGTTCGTTGCTTTCCCGATCACTCCGTCTTTCAGCCTGCTTTCATTGCCTGTTCTTCTGTGTGTGTCTTTGCTAATCTGTCTTTTTTTAAATCACCGATGTGATCCTCTGTAGGACAAAATCAAAGAGGTCGGTTCATGGTTCATTATTCTCAGTCCAAATTCATATCCACTCTTAAAATTCAGTTAACTAACTAAACCGCTCTGTGTTCTATTAGAAATTGGCTACTCTCCGCGCTGAAGCAGATGCCGGTCAGGTCATAATCCGCTGCTTGTCGATCGCCGTAGATGATCGAGTAGTTCTTTGCTGATCTTGTTGTGCTGTTGATCATTTTTTTTTTTTTTGAAAATTTCTTCTCGATTTTTCAAATTATGCAAATTGGAACTGATTTTTATCGACCAAAAAAAAAACAAAATAGCTATGGAAAGAGCGGAGACAGCAGAAGCCAAATTTAAAAAATTAGAGATGGAGAGTATGGTGAAAGATCAAGAGTTGGTCTCACTTCAACACAAGGTTAGCAACCTCGAAGCTGACCTTGAAGCAGCCGAGAAGAAGTTATCAGACGCCAAGTTACAAAAAGAAGAAGAAGAATCCAACAAGTCGACTAACGAAAATCTTAACCGGAAGATTGCCCTTCTCGAAAGCGAGTTAGATAATGCGGAGAAGAACTTGAGGGAAACGACTGATAAGTAAGCCAATCTTATCTCGTCTCACTCAGTTCACTCTACTTCTTCGATATGATACTCACTTTGATTGTCGTGTAATTGCCCCATCCTCCATCAATCAACCGCTCTCATTTAGGCTCCGTCAAGTCGATGTCAAAGCTGAGCATTTCGAACGACAAGTGCAACGTATCGAATCTGAGAGAGACTCCTGGGAGAAAAAGTGAGCAATCTCTTTCGCTCTCAATACATCATTTGGTCGTTGAGATCTGACAAGCAGAGGATACATTATATCATTTTATCTTAGATGGGAGGAGACGCAGGAGAAGTACGTTGCGTCCAAAAGAGAGCTCGAGGAAGTTGTCCAACAGATGGAGGTAAGTCAAGAATGAGAAAACAAAGCTCTAGACCAAACCTTTTCCTATGTTTATGTTATGATTACTGACTACTGTGACTTGATTCCCCACTTTTTCATTAGTCGCTATAATTCTCTCGTTCTTGACCCCCTCATCATATATCAGTATGATGTAATTTCGTTGGCTTGAGTTTTTGTTTAACGTCAAAAACAACATTGTAATCAAATCAGATGACCGATTGACGCTCAGATAACGTGATAGTGATAGTGATAGTGATGGTCCATCGTATCCGGTCCAACCCACTCTTACGACTAATCTTATGAGTTTATCTACTTGATTTGATCGTTGGTCATCCCAGCCCCACTTTTCCTTTAGAATCTTTCTCAGCTCACCAGCATTTTAAACCAAATCAGTTTCTGGAAATTGTATTGCTTTCTCATGATCTGATCCACCCTGTTTTTAAGACTCTATTCCTATCGTCATCACGGCAGCCTAGGGAGTCCTACCTAAAGGCTTCAGTGGATCGCTAACAAAAACCAACGTTGTGAGTGGCTAATTAGCGTTGGGGTCTGGTAAGTCTGTTTTCCATCATTTGAAGCATCATGGTCTATCATACTGGGAAGCCTACTTTGAAAAAAAAAACAGCTGTCAAATCATTTTGTTCTGCTGGTATTACGAGCAGTAATCCTGTTTGAACGCTATCCCATATCCTCCATGTAGCATTCAGCCTATCTTACCTGCATCTTATTAGTTGAAACACTCATAGAGAAATGTTGAACTGTTTGATCCCGACAATGGGACTACAAAATCTCGGCCTTCTTTTCACTCACAACTAGATATAAATATCGGCCATGCACATGTAAAGGGGAACCCGTCACATTTGAGGCGTGGATCGCCGGATGATTGGGCTGGGGAATGATGCTTTCGTAGAGCGTGTTACAACGAAGAATTGGCTCAGTCACGACCCACCCATGGTAATTTATCACTGGATTGTGATCATAAGCTCTAGAATTCAATCCATTAAGTCATTGACTCCATATCTAACTACATGAATGTCAAAACATGAAGGGGAATGACCCGCGGAGGAAATGGAGACTGATATAGGATTTGAAGACTCATTTTGATGTTTGTTGTAGGCGATGGTGTAAGGTGGTGGGAGCGCCGTTGTCCTCGACATGAAGGGTACCCCACAACGGTGGAAAGAGCTCCAAGGGAACCAATTTGAGATAGTTTGCATACATCAAGCCATTTGTAAATTTTTCAGGCGAAGGCCATCTGCGCGGGTTCGGTGTATTTTGACAACGGACAACAAATTTCCAGAATCTGGTGAGTGCCATTCATAGACACTGAAATTTCGATCAGCTATCAATTCACTCCGGCTGTCTTATCTTCCTTGACTATATGTATATGTCCAGGTGCAACATGAAACGATCGCGAGGTCTTCGAGACCGTCTGGGCTTACTTCTAACTCTAGGCGTCGATATTCTTGCTGGCTCACCTCCGATCTCCGTCTCGATTCAGGCAACATGGCAGGAACCACCGATGTTGATTCAAGTCTTGTGAGAGCTGCGTATGATTCATGGCATGTATGAATTCGAACTGATGTCATTGAAAAACATCTTCCGATCAGGGAATCTGCTGCTTTAGAACGTCCTGGGTTATTTTTTTCGTCAATAGATGCCGTTTGCTCAGGTTGGGAGAGCTCGAAGAGGTCGACCGATCAACAAACATACGAGTACCTCACCAGTCTTCTCCGGTCACCAGGATTACTCGATGGTCCGGGTGAATTGGAGTCCCTAGCATTTAGTATTGCTCTCAAAGAAGCTCAGCCTAAAATCGAAGCTTTCCGAGTGTGGTATGCCTCACTCCCCTCGAACCTTACCGGCCAATCCGAAACTCAAGCTTCAGAATCAGATGATTGCAAAAGCTGGACGTTGATCAACAATTCAAGAATTTGTGACACTTCAAAGCTCTCTGAATTATTAGACTCCAATGATCCATCCGAAAAGTGAGTCGTAGTCAGTCTTAAAGGTGGTGTACATCCTGAGACTGATGGTAGTAATTTGACAGAATTCAATCGCAACCTCAAGTTCTTCCTTTCGATCATCAGCAGGGCCAGTCACATGAAAACGCACGTTTACCAATCGCAATCCTGTATGCCTCCCCGGACCCCAGCTCCTTTTGTCCTTTTCATCAAGTGCTACACAAAGCTTCGAAGGAGCTTCCCTCTAAGGCCACTTACATCTTTCGATGGAAAATACCCTCTGCACCATCGTCCTCAACAAAGTCTCAATCGGCCAGTCTTTTGAGTGGATGGGGTGCTAGCTTAGATATCAAAAAGTCAGAATACTTGACGTTGGATGACCGCCCCGTGGAATCCTCCTCCAGTGACGATCCACAACTGATACTCGATGGTACAAAACAACCAGCTGGAAGGGAGAGCCAAGTCGATTCTGAACCGGCCAAGCTGAAGCCATTGAAGGCAGCCGAGATCTTTGACATAGGCGCCAAGGCTACTCAGCATGTTCTTTCATCACCCTCGCCTCTAACAGCTTTACGGCACTTGACCGAAGATTTTCCATTGATTGCACACACTTTGGTGAATGAATGGGTGCCTGGAAGAATCTCGAGAGAGCTCAGATTAGAGCTTAAAGAAAACATGGAAGATGGAATTCCCCCGGGTCGGTCTGTTGTCTGGATGAACGGACTTCAACTCTCGTCCCTGGTCTCTCTGGAAAACCTCAACTTATTCAAGCTGGTCGAAATCATGAGAAACGAACGTCGTTGGATTACCTCTTTGACTTCCTTAGGAATCAATTCACTTCAAGCTCGGAAGTTGATTGTCGATGAGAAGTTAAACTCGGCTATGAACCCAGAAGCGGCATCTGCCTCGGCAAGTGGGGAAATGGATGCCAGCTCGTTGGGCGCAAGATTCGATGCCAGTGATCGGCAAGAAGGTGGAGGAGCTATTATTTGGTTTAATGACCTGGAGAAGGATGAAAGATATTCGATGTGGCCTACTACCTTACGAGCGGTCAGCATTTCTCTCACAAATCAATACACTTATTCGCTCTTAACCATCTGACATCGAGTTTTTTTTTCTTTGACTTGTGTAGATTCTTCGTCCAACTTTCCCTGGTCAATTACATCCCATCGGTCGTAATTTAATCAATGTTGTCTTAGGTCTTGACCTTACCCAGACCCAAAATCTTCACAATTTGGGCCATGTGATCGAAGTTTTTATTGCACGTAGTTTGCCCATCCGATGGGGTGTCGTCCCAATCCCTACAAAGAACCCATCCCAGGCAGGTCGGTCGATTTGATATCCCTATGATCTTCTCCCATTTTTTTTGACTCTTTGGTTTGGTTCACAGAAAAAATGTCAAGATCTTTCTGGAATATGATTGAGGCTTTAGGGCCGATTGAGACCCTAAAATTTATCAAAGAGGTAAAGATTCCCATGCTGTCTCCCACTCGTGCCTTCCGTGAGGGTAATCAAGAACGATGTCCCTTGACTTTTTTTCTGTTTCTCTGTCATTTTGGATGTTTAATCCAGTTCACGCAAGATTTGGAGCCGGAATCAGGAGCGATAGATGTTGAGAAATTTATCTCAAAGGCTAACCAAAGTGTGCTCTCGGCCGAAGAGGAATCGCCAGAAGATCCCCAGTCGAAGGAAGAGAGGTTTCAAGTCTGGCTGACTAAGTCTCAACTGTATTCTTCAAGATTATCGTTGTGTTCGAATGATCACAGTCTTCCAGCTTGTATGATGATCAACGGGCGTTTTTTCCCTATGGAGGAGGTGAGTTGGCTCGTTAAGGTTTCGTGGTCTCATGCTTAACAAGTTTTCGTATCTGAACTGTCGCAGAATTATCGAACTCATCTTCAAGAGACGGCAACACTTCATACCGGATTTATACAACATCAAGTGTATTTCAACTTGCTGAAGGATGATGCTAATGTGGCGGAGTACCTCTATGATCTTCCCTTAGTCCATCGAGCACGGAACGACCTGGTGTTCCCATCTGAAGCCAGACCATTGCAATTTGTTGATCTGGTCGAGGCTCTTCAATCTTCCGATGCTCTTGCGGCCAATGTGTTTTTCCGGAATGAAGGTTTGTGAGGTCTTGATTTAGCATTATACCTTCCAACTATCTCGGGCTCTTTTGTCTCCTGAAATCTGAAAGAATTGAATCTTATTTCATTGATCATTTTAGCTGCGCCTGTGAAGAATGGTGATCCGCGGCCCATTGCATCCTTGTGGGTGGTTGGAAATCTCGATTCCAATACCGGGATGTCTGCCGTTGCAGCCGCGTTGGGCTTGCTGGTATGCATCTTTCCCGATATGACCCAGGATATATGTGGTTTTCTAACATCTCCCGTGTTTAACAGATGAAACCGTTTCCCAATGTTTCTACTCAAGTATCCTTTGTTCACGTACCTTCGGACGACACCGAGATCTCGACGGAGATATCGACCGATTTAAGCGCACTTATCACAACTTCCGATGTTCAAAAGATAACCATCCAGGATTTGCTTGACAAACTTAGTGGTCATGGACATCAAGCTATGACTTCAGATGACGGGGACTCAACCAAGACGGAGAAAAACTCGGAGTTGGTCTTGAAAAAGATACAGACAAAAGCATCAGATCTGCCCAACATAAAAAACCGCGCATGGTTTGGCGCTCAAGAGTTTGGAAAGGCCATTGGCGCTAAAAGAGATGGCATCGCAATCGTCATCAACGGCCGGGTGAGATTGGTATTCTTGAAGATTGATCCTGTTTCCACTGGCTGATTACTGTAACTTCCTCAGCTTTTACAAGTCTCTTCTACCTCGAAGTTACTCAGCGAAGATCTGGTCCTACTTGTTGAGTATGAAACTCAGCAGCGCATTAACCCATTGATGGAAGCGTTAAAGAGTCTTGAAGAGTCAGTTGAATTGTAGGTTTGTTAGCCTTTTCATCAGCTGACATTTTCAACCACCCCTAGATTTGACGTAAAACAACATCATGCCAATCTTCCGTTGATTATGTCGACGGTCGGTTTTGTCTTGGTGGGCTCAAACGATGGCTCCACTCAAACCTCCTCCTCTGAGGCCCGCTCTGATAAACATCTGGCTCGCAATGGTGTCCATTCGTAAGTGATCGAATAAAACTGGACGTCGGTAGTTTATCTAAGGATTTTGTTTGTGTGGTTTTGTCAGATCCTATCAACACGGTGATGAAGCAAAGGCATTATTTGATTTCAGCGTGGTCTTGAATCCCACCAGTGAAGCTGCACAGCGATGGTCAGCGCTGTTGGATGTATGTTTTATCATCAACCCTCCTTGATCTAAGTAAGTAAATAACTAGTAATGCTGAGCCAGAGAGTTTTTCTTTGTAGACATTATCTCACCGTTCAGATGTCGCGATGAAAGTTTGGTTCAATCCCTCTTTGGAGGTTAGCGAGCTCCCGATCAAACGTTTCTTCAGAACAGCTATCTCAAACTCTTTAGAGTTCGACAAAAATGGGTAAGTGGTCGATTTAATCTGAACCCAACTGTGGTCCTGACCTCTCGCATATGTCCTTCTATCTACCTTTCCCTCGATGTGTCGCTTAGGCGCGTCATCCCAGCGCTTGTCAACTTCCACGGTATCCCAACAGAGACACTATTCACATTGGCCATAGATTCCCCACCGGCCTGGCTCGCTCTGCCCCATGATTCCATTCATGATCTCGATAATATTATGCTTTCGGAGCTCCCACCTGCTTACAGTTCACAGGGAGTCGAGGCCATCTTTCAACTGGAACATATCATCTTAGCTGGGCACGCGCGTGAGGTGCCGAGTGATATACCCCCAAGAGGCTTGCAAATAGTCTTATCAGACCTGCTCAGAAATCAAGAGGTCGACACGATCATTATGGCTAATGTCAGTGAGAATTTTTTTTAAAAACTGTTCAAATGCACACTTTTGAGATCAGACACCAATTGAATCTTATTGAGGTTTTGGTTCTCAGCTGGGTTACTTCCAATTCAAATCTGCACCGGGAATACATCGATTGTCTATCCGTCCAGGAAGAAGTCTGGAGCTATATCAGTTCGAAAAGACTGATTCTTCAGCGGACGGGAACGATGAATCTCACCAGCTTTTATCCTTGACCACTTTCAACGGCTTGACTATCTATCCTCGGGTCCGGAAACGTCCTGATAAAATAGGCGAAAACTTGATCCAACCGCTTTCGACCTCTCCGACCACCTCCAAAAAAGGCCCTGCTGCCGAATTTTCCAAGCTCATGGGTCAGGTCAAAGATATGTTAGTCCTATCTGTCTTTCATTGATTCACGATCTTGAACATTCACAGATGATAACTCGATTTGCTTCCTTGTAGAGCAACCGGAATGCTCAAGAATCAAGGAATTGATCTCGCCAACGGAGCTTCACGATCAGTCATCAATGTGTTTACAGTTGCTTCAGGATTGTTATACGAGGTCTGTTAGCTCGCACAAGATCACATTTCCTCATTAACTAACCTTGACAATAATTTCCTTCAGCGTATGGCGTATCTGATGTGTGTCAGTGTCATGCGACACACCCAAAGCCCGGTGAAATGTAAAATTCAACTCTCTGGCGGTGGAATCTTAACCCTAGAAAGAAACTGATCTGATCTCGCCGTAATTGATTTGTAGTTTGGTTCATCTCCAACTTTCTTTCACCGTCCTTCAAGAGATTCATTCCTCACTTGGCTCGAGAGTATGGCTTTGATTATCAATTGGTCACTTATCGTTGGCCATCCTGGTTACGCGCCCAAAAGGAGAAACAGAGGGTGATCTGGGGGTAAGCCTTATAAGCACTCTTCAGTTCAACTTTTCTTTTGTTGAAGTATTGAATTAACTTGGACTAAAGCCACTCCTTTCCTTTGCTAGTTATAAAATTTTGTTCTTGGATGTCCTTTTTCCCTTAGAGGTAGATCGAGTGATCTTTGTCGACTCAGATCAGGTGATTAGATCTTCTTCCTATCTCCCCCTAAGTCTCCCCCGAATCTTTGGTGAACTGATTCTTTTTTTTTGTCTATCAGATTGTCCGGACTGATTTGAAAGCTTTGGTCGACCTTGATCTGGGAGGAGCTCCCTATGCATATGCACCAATGTGTAATGATAGGAATGAGACCAAGGTACATTCCTTTTTTCCTTGAGATTTTTTGGTCTCTAACAATTGACCAACTTGGGCGGTTCTTAGGGATTCCGATTTTGGGACACTGGATATTGGAAAGAAAGTCTTCAAGGCCGACCTTACCACATCAGGTACCTATTGGTTTGCTTCGATAACTTATCAAGTTTGATGAATGAATCTGATTGTCGATATCCTCCATTTGCTAAAGCGCTCTGTACGTCGTGGACTTGAGAGTTTTTCGAACCGTGGCTGCTGGTGATCAATTGCGACAGCATTATCAAGCGCTTTCTGCTGATCCTGGAAGCTTGGCTAACCTCGACCAAGACCTTCCTAATAATATGCAAGGAATCTTACCGATAGTCAGTTTTCTTTCAATGTGATCCTCTCCCCCACCCTTTTTTTAAGAGGAGGAAACTTAAGGGTTGGCCGGCCATCTTTTTTAGTTCACCTTGGATCAAAGTTGGCTATGGTGTGAGACTTGGTGTTCGGACGAAGGTTTGAAGACGGCTAAGACGATAGGTAGAGTTCCGATGATCAATAGCTGGAAGTGTTTCCTGAGAAAGAATCAATATCTGAGATCAATGTTTCTTTATTAATTATATTTTACAGATTTATGTAATAACCCATTGACGCATGAACCGAAGCTGAAGCGGGCTCGACGACTGATTCCAGAATGGGACGCCTATGATCAAGAGGTTGCAGCTTTGGCGGCAAGGATTAAGAAGAATAATCAGGGCGATTTGGCGGCGAAGATTACTGTCCAGGCTGGCCAGAAAATCGAAGATGATCAGGATCTTTCATCCGACCCTCTTTCAGAGTCAGATCATCTCGAGAAGGAGCAGGAGGATGTTATGCTTGACTCTTCTGGCCTTAATCAAGAAAATCCTTCGACTCTTCTTGATAAAGAAGGTGTCAGTAGAGATGAGCTATGAGAAGTCTAGTGTGTTTTTTTTTTTGGAAGTGTTTATATTTAGGGTTAAGGTGTGACTTAGATCTCTCAAAAATCACTTTTTTTCCTCTTTCTGAGTCTGTCTCTTCACTTTTCTCTGTAAACCTGCATTTGCTTAGTTTTTAGTTTTGTTGAAATTCAAGTCCGTTTTGGTTCAGATGTAAGGATATGATAAATTGGAGATCAGGAGGATCAGTTTGATGGAAGTTTCAATGTCATGAAAAGGAAAGGAATGATCATGGGTGAGAAGCTTTTGGAGGTCTAATATCATGGCCGACCGTGGTGATGGAAATTCCTATGACCATTAAAATGTCCTTGACAGAGCCTAGTTTACAACGCTAGCATGTATATTTAGGATGGATCTATTGCATGTCTTTTGCTTGCTTCCAAGGTTATCAGTTCTTATTTCTATCTATTTTGGAAGATCAGGCCGTGTGGTGCCCTGATCAGAGATGCGCTGATCAGATGCGCAGTGTTGGCTGACCCCCTTCCTGACCGGGCCCCTCCCGAGTCCCCGGTGAGCTCTCCTTCCTTTTGAGAGATCATCAACTTTTCCTCCCAATCACCATCATCCACGAACAACGGACTGCTTCGAAGAATATACATACTAACCAGCTTGGACTTTAAGAACTCGAGAACTGATAGATATATACAAAGAGAAGGAGAAACTGCATACATAGAATCCCGCACAAGAAACCGAACCTTCTGGCTCAGCAGGATGGCCAACTCAACAGATTTCGATATCGATCCATTCAAAGAGACGATCTATGCAGAACCAAGTCAGTCGATTAGCAGTCACTCTCCTCAAAGAGAACCATCCCCTCCCAACGAAGCTGGTCCCAGTAGTAGCTCGCCCACCCGAAGAGGATCACTTCAACCTACGTCATCAAGCCCAACCACCAACTTTGTTCATGCCTACCAGGTCGAACATCGACCCAATCCAGTCTCACCTTCTTCCTCGATCAACAACCCCAAATCTCCCATCCCCCCGATCGCTGCTGTCACCACACCTGGACGAGGTGGGAGACCAACACTCAGGGATCTTAAGGATGTCGAAGAGATCAAGGTCAGCTTGAGCAGATTAAATCCAACCAGACCCTTCACTGGCCTCAATTCAGCTTTACCATTGAGCCAACACACCCACACTTACAAACACAGGTCATGGACGCCATCAAAACTAGCGAGGGAGGATCATCTTCGTATATTGCCTACGTCATTCAAAGTAGTGTCAGTCTAGGTTTTCATCGCCCGTATACAAGTGCCCCAGTTTTCCCCTACGAAACCTCTTTCTTTCTCAATGGCTGACTTGACACCCCCCTCCGTGGATTCAAACTGTCTATCTTCGTAGCGCGGGATAGCTAGGCACAGGTACTCGGAATTCGAGTCTCTTCGATCGTCCCTTGTAGCACTATATCCAGTCTTGATCGTGCCGCCCATCCCGGACAAACAAGTCAGATTGATTTTTACACTTTTTTCTCAAATTATCAAACCCCCCAAAGAAAAAAATAACTTTGTCGGGACAACAGTTGGAGATAAAAAAAGACTGATTGATTCGCTCGTTATTCCCAGTCACTTGGCGATTACGCTTTCCATCCGAGTTCAATGGCCAAGACGAAGGAGGATCCGGTTACTGTTGCTCGTCGTAAACGGATGCTGGCCGTGTTTCTCAACCGACTGATCCGACACCCCGTCTTAGGTCGCGAAAGGGTCCTGTGGCAGTTTTTAGCCCAGGATGTCTCGTGGTCTGAAGTACTCCAACAACCACCACTGACGAACCTACCAAAAAATCCGATGAAGGCCCCTGCCCATAATCCCTCGGATCCGGAGCTTCAGGCGCTCTTCTCCCATCTTCCCGTCCCATCTTCCTCGTCTGTACCTCTCCAAGATCCTGATCAACGCTTCCAAGATTCGGAAGTCTTCACCCAAAAGTTCTCCTCTCATCTTACTAATAGTCTCGAGAAAATTAATCGTCGTCTCATGAAACGTTGGCAAGATTATGCCGTCGATCAAGCCGAACTTGGTGGGGTCCTCAATGGCTTTGCTCTTGTTGAAGGTAGCGTGGTTGGGGATGGTCAGCTTAGTACCCAGGAAACCGCCGAGGCTACTAGTGCAGCCATCGAAAGAACAGGACAAGCTATAGATGCTACTTATGTCTCTACAAACGCGATGGTCTGCCATCTTCTCCCTGAACCCTTTGCGTTTTTTTTGTTGTCTTTGTAGTCCGGCTGATTTCGTGATTATCATTGGTAGCTCCAAGATTGGGAATGTCAGTTTACAGAACCATTGCATGAATATGCCCAATTTTCGAACGTGATCAAACATCTCCTACGATTCCGACATATGAAGCAAGCCCAATTTGAGATGGCACGAGATATCCTGGACACCAAACGACTGGTATTAGAGGATTTAGAGCGCAGTGAGACCGAGGCGCAGAGGTTGGAGAGTGCACTGAATCGAGTCCGTCAACTCGACCTCGAACGATCCAAGGAATCATCGGAATCTCCCGAAGCTAACTCGGCCACCTCTCATGTTATCGGCTCCTCTGGTCCGGCTCTTATCACTCCCATACGTAAACCCGCGTCCACTGGCTTCCTGGGCGCCCTTCGTCATTCTCTTAATGGAATCACTGATGTTGATCCTGAAAGTACTCGTCGAAATAGTATTGGAAAAAATAAAGATTATATCACTAATGTTGGTTAACCTTTTCCTTTTGAAATTGTGTTTGATGATTCTTTTGATTGACACAACTTTGTTCTTTTCTGATCAAACCAATTAATCTATAGCTTGAAGAAGGATTAAGAGCTGCGGCTGCTGATCTTAGATATTGCTCTCAAACTATTCAGGCTGATTTGGATAGATTTCAAAGACAAAAAGTCGCAGATCTTAAAGATATGTGTTTGGCTTTTGCTAGATTACATATTGAAATCTCTAAAAAAGTTTGTCCTTTCTTTTCTCTCCCCTTCCTCCCTTTTTTTCCCCTTTTGTGTGAATTTCCCTTTTTGGGTGAAAGGAGTTTGGAAATTAATCTTGGTTTGTGTTTTTTTTGGGGGGTGGTTGGTTTTATGTAGAACTTAGAACAATGGGAAGCTGCAAAAGAGATATCTCAAATGTTGTTGTTGTTCCTTCTTCTTTTTCAGATGATCAACAACAGTAGTACATAGTAGTTTATTATTATCATTTCTCTTATTATGAGCAAGGAAACCAAAACACTTCTCAAAAAGAAACTATTATTTAATTAATGTTTGTCTCAAATGTTTTTTTCCTTGTTGTTGCAATGATAACAAACAAGAGGTTGTATAAAACATTAATAAATTTGATTGGAGTTGATTCAATAATAGAGAGAGACTGTCTGTCAATTTGACAGCCCCTGTAAAGCCAAGTTGCAAAGCTCAATTCCCCAGCAGCAAAATGCTATACTTTTTTTGGGTCTGAATCAACATCTAGGACAAGGGCTGTAGATCATCTGACAGAAAGTTCTCCAATCTCTTTATGTAGTCTCTTTGAGAATTTTAATTCTTCTTCAAAAGATTGATCTGTGAAAGAAATAAAAAAATCAAAGAGAAAAAGTCTGGTGTGGCTTGCTGGATCTGTTCTCGATCATACATACACCACGGGTGCACTTGGGTGTCCTAGGGACATCACACAACAATATGTCCCAGGTGTGTTCCGCATCCATTTAAAACAGAGATCCACCATCACAACAGCCTCACAACAAGGCTATTGTGATGTCTTTTTAGGACCTGGGACGGCCTTGGGACAATGCCATCCCATGGCTGGACCCAAAATCCCCAATTGCACCCGCGGTGTAGACAAAACTGCAAGAAAAAATGTTGGATGAATGTTTCAAAAATCAAATGGTGGAATGAATATGTTGGACAGGAATCATGATGAAAGTTGACTGTACATATGTATGTAGATGAATGAAGAAGGGCTCAATCGTGACTAGAAAGTGTCACTTGAATTTGATTAATCATCTCCAGACACTATTTTCATTTTTCCAACTTTCAAAATGGGATTGTTTTTTTTTGTCCTGCAACCATCTTGATGTCTTTGCCTGGCATTTGATGTGATCCAGTCACCAAACAAGTGATAGACCAGCATGTAGGGTGGATTGTCAACCTGAGGGGGAAAAGGCGGCTCATTCAATTGGAGATAAGGTTGTTGTGTGGTTCAGCATCTGGCAAATACCATTCTTGCCATTCTTCAAGTTATTTTGGCGAGTGTTGGGTACCAGGTTGCAACCTTCAAAGTTCAGACTGGCAGTATGTTAGTGCCCCCTGTGTGTGGAACAGGGAATCCCCTCTTATTATTGTTTTAAAAGTGATACAGCTCTAACTTAACACAAGTCCCCCTGGTGGGAGGATCGCTGTGTAACACTGGCGCTGGGCGCGAAGCGCCCCCTCCCGCAGGGAGGGACTTGCGGGGGAACTCAAAAATTAAGCGGGAGCAGAAAGTCCACTTTGGCTGGGGAGCTTTTTAATTTTTTGATAGCTCCTACCCCAGCCAATCAAACAGGCCGCCAAACCGTTTTCTCAATCCTTAGCATGTTCTCTCCAGCTTGGCCGAGTCAGATTTGTCTCATCACCTAGCAGAGATTTTTAATATTTTTTTAAAAAATTTGATAAAATTACTTTTTTTGAAAAAGGATCCACCAGGATTAACCTGGATCCACAAGAACAATTTTTTGTGGATCCTTTGTGTTTATCCATTTGCAAGGTTAAACCTTCTGATATGTGGCACTCGTTCCCATAACCTGCCACCTGGCACCGCCACTTCTCCTTGAGTCCTAAGTCCTCTAGATCGAAGCCCCACTCGCAACAAGGAAGAATGAACTGCTCGACCGACAGAATTCAGAAGATGTCGGGGCCCCCAAATTCACCTCAAATTCCGGAACACACAAGACTGCTCAATATTTGTAAGGTGATCCAATCGAATGGTCTCACCCCTAAGAAATTTCTCCTTCGGTTCCTACAGAACAATCATGCGGCTCTGGCTGATCGACGCAGACTGTGGCCGGCAACCGGCCAGGACTCAACGATGGAGCTGTTGAAAGAGATTGTTCAACATCTCAAAAAAAATCCGGAGGGTTGCGAGAAATGGGCTGGATATGTTCAAGACGAGGCAAGGAGGATTGTCTGAAAGGACTTTGAATTTGATTGTTGCTGAGGAATTTTTTGTTCTCCATCCAGGCAGTAGAGATTTCTGCATCTCAGTCGCCACCCCAAGGCTATTACCCCGAAGGCAGCTTTCAGAGCAGCACCCAGATCTCAGCTGAATTTTGTAGTGAAGCCGCCAGAAAACAAGACAACGATCGAATCATGGCCAGCATGCCGTTTTTATATCAACTCATATCCCGAGTAATGCTACGTTCGGTTTCGGATAACACTTCAGTCAATGCCACCGAGGTTGATGACCTTGGCCCAGATCCAGATATCGATGACCCGATGGAAGCAGAGGGTTTGAGAATGGAGGAGATCACTTACCATCGGCCTCCAAATCCATTAGCTCGTAAGGAACAGCGGGTATCTGCTGTCAGCATCCTGATGACTGCATGTGAATGAAGACAATTTTGCTTAACTGACACTTTTTATGCTATACATGCAGGTTACGAAGTTGATTTGCAGCATGATTGCTTTCTCTCGAAACCGTCGATGTAATGGACCTCAGTTGAGGAACAGCATTGAATTCCTAGCATGTGGAATTACTGAAAGAGTCAACCAATGGCTTATGTACCATGGACTGGCAAGTAGCCGACAGACTGCAATGAGTGCTCTGAAAACACTGTCATCCTGTGCCCAGTCAAATTTGAAAAATGCGTTTTCTCGACCTTCGTCTGCCGTAGTCTCACCGATCATCTGTATTGATAACCTAGATATTGAGCAACATGTCCATACAAACTCGATTGGCCACCAGAGCCACACTTTCCATGGAACTTGGGGTTATATCCAGTTCCCATCACCTGAGCTCCTCAAGACCCTTGACACATCCGAACTGACACTCGACTGTTTCAATGAAGCTATGAAGAAGGTTTCTTCCTTCCAAATTGAACCCTCGATGTTTATGCACACTCCTGAATCTGAAGCAAGCTACAGAGCAATCTGGAAGAGTCAGATTGCCCGAGTTTTGAATCAATACATTGCTCGACCCAATAACCGAGCGCAGGCCATTGGCCTCGACCCGCCGCCTGTGGAGAAGATTTCCTCAAAAGCACCTGACATCCTAATGCTTAAGCTCATGGACGCCCCCGAGAATAGTTCCGAGGGCATGGGAAGAGTCCTGGATGCAACAGCTCAGCAAACAGGACTCGATCTAGATCAATTTTTTGGCCGCTTACAGCTCATGGACGGCGATTTGGCAACTTGCCGCAATTTTAATAGTCTTCGATTGCTCCGTGTGCCAAGTGCCTATGCGCATCATAGCCTGCACAATATATCCTTTCAGCTCGGTGCATCCCACACTTTGTGGAACATTGCATCCAGCATCTTCAAATCTCACTTTGGTGATGTAAAAGATTCAACGGACACGGGCGCGTGGCGATGTTTGGAAAGTCTTGGGATCCCCCATGCAAAGGCTTTTCCAAAAAAGGACTTCTCGCTTATGATAAAACACATGGAACAGGTTCATGAAGCAACTATATTGCATTGTATCAAGTGTGTCATCTAAACATGTAATTTGGCTGTCTGCAGCTCTGAGATTGATTTTTTACATGCTTTTATCTCTTTAGAACTGTCATGGGCACTCAAGGCCAGCCAATCCCCGAGCCTGACCTTTCCAAAGGGCTTCCAAAAATCCCAACAGAAAAGTGGAACACAATCATCGAGGACGTTTACTTGCGTTATTGTACAGGCGAGGCTCGGGAGAAGGCTTCCAAACAAGAATGTCCAAAGCTTCATAACCTGTTGATTCGACTTGAAGAATTTTCAACTGTTGTTGAGGCCAAACGGGCCATGAAGGCTGGTGATATTGGCCGCCTCTTGAATATTTGGAAGAAATGGAGTGTCATGTCTCAGTCATTGAAAGGCCTACGCAACTACTCGGCATATCTACCCAGGATGGTTCTTTTGCTCACCGAAATTCTACCACCATCTCTGGCCAAACACTTCCGACATTCACTCCTATTCTCACCAAGTGGCCGAGAAAATCACTTTGTTGCCAAGGATTTCTACCTTGAACTACAGAATTATTGGTTAAAATTCTTCTTTAATCAGACGGGTGCGGGGACTCAGATTGATCGGTTAAAAAACTTGTTCTCTCTGAACATTCACATGGTGAGATTTTATCTCAGCCCATTTATTTTGTTTATTTCACATTTCATTTCTAACATCTTTGTCCATTACCTTCCTTCTCAATCATCTCATTTTGCCTTTAGCTGCGCCAAATGATGCACTCTCTTCGACTTGACTCCGGGGCATCAGTTTTTACACAGTCGCACAAGAATATAATGACCACCAAGTCTCTTAATGTGTTTCTTCAGATGGCCAACAACTTCAATATCCTTGATGAATCTTCTGGAGCCCAGAAAGGGGAGCAAAACAAGATAAAAAAGGTTGGAAACTCGTATATTTTAGGTAGTCAGAAAATAAAAGTGGAGATAGGCAACGATCCAAATCTGAGTCGATTCAAGCTACACATGCGATGTGACACCGGACTGGGCGAAGAGGACGACGATGAACAACTTGTTCCAAATGAGGAGCCCGGTGGATATGAGTTATGAACAAAATGGATTTTTTGATCATACCTAAAGTAGACCATGAGCCTTTTTAATTTCATTCATGTTTTGTAGATGCCACGCGGCACGTCGAGCCTTGGCCTCTTGTTCTTGTATCTGGAGCTCCAATCTCTGTTGCTTTGCTTTTTTCTTTTCAGCAGCTGCCAGCTCTCGTTGTCTTAAGATTTCTGGTGATACTGCATTCTTTCGAGGTCGTTTTGCAGTGCTTGAATCGATCGGATCTGAAGGTTCATTGGGTTGGTCACTTGTAGCCTCTTTATCAGTTACCGAGGGTTCGAGTTCTCCTGTTGCTATAGTATTTGTTTCACTTGTTCCTCTCAATCTATACATGTCAATCGATTTCATCAAAACCCCCAGCTGTCCTTTAACCATTTCCCCTTTGATAACCCGTCGGAGATCACTCTCCGATTGAATCTGCCCAAAGTAATTAATAATTGAATCGATCTCCACAACACCAAAGAGATTGGTGGGTACCAATGAGCCTGCTTCACCAAAAGTATTTCGATAGAAGCTGTTGAATGTCTCTTGCAAAATTTTTCTCAAAGGCGCCAGTTGTACTCGCTCTTGTTTCTTAGTTGTTGGACCGTTTCGAACAATGTTGTATTTCCGCTTGGTTTCAGTAGTATCCACCGCATTCAGTGCCACTTGATTCATTACGTAGTCACCGAAGTTGTCCTTATTCAAATTTTTCAGATTCTGCACCAGAAGGGTGCCAGCATGCTCCATACAATTGGAACACATGCAGGGTGGAAATCCATTAAGTTCCTCGCGACGCTTCTCAGATTGGTAAAGGGGATCATTGAAATCAAGCGGTATGTAACCAATCCTGTACACAAAACAGCCCACTTGTCAATTAAACCTGCCTTTTAAAAAAAATCAAAGTGCACGCACAAGTTATCCATAGAGAATGCAATCCGGAGACAGACCGGAGTGATTGCAAGTGCATCCATCCGGTCTTCATCTGATTGAACATGACCGGGTGGAAAGTCCGCAATACTATTTTTTCCGTTGGGTCGGTTGGTCTCAACAAAAAGAATAGCCAAGCCAGGGCGACCATCCCGGCCACATCGTCCTATCATCTGGCAGATAAGGGAGGGATCGCCGCGACCTATGTGAACGATCTGTCAAACCAGCTTCCAATTCTGCCCCATCCCAAGAGCCAGGGTGCAGGATAGAACTGGAACCTTTCCAGAAGCAAAGTCATTGATAACATCCTTCTTGTCTAACTCGCCTGTGCAGGCATGATATCGACGGGCAAACGAGTTCCGTGGATTCAAATGATTGCTGGGAGTCCCACGAGCTTGATCTAAAACCTCTAGTACTTGTAGGGTTCGTAGTCGGGTCCCACTGTATATCAAAGATGGGACAACTTGCTCGTCAGGAATATGAGATTTTGGATCATAAACCTGTAAAATGTCGGCGCAAGACTGGATCGAGCTTTTCATGGGGATTCTCAGGATTCGGATTTCGGGTCTAGTCAGTTCATCGCGGAGAAGATCGATGTGTGTGTCAAGCAATTTGAGATTCTTTTTGATAGCCGTTATTGCCGCTGGCCTGCAAGTCGCAGACATTAGCAATAGAGGTGCCTGATTCTTTGTTAAGAGTTGGGTTGCTAGGCTGCCATAATGAGGCCGAAAAGCAGAAACATCCTGGTGCCGCACTATAGTCTTAAGCTTCTTTTGGCCGCCCTCAACCAAGCCCCATGAGTAAATCATGTGGGCTTCATCCACCACAATCAAAGCCAGTTTGCTTTGGAACTTCGGTGAGAAGTAAATGTTGCTGAATGCTTCGTTATCAAGGAACATTTCAGGCGATAGGTAGACAAAGTTGTATGAGCCTTCCTGGATTTCTAGACAAGCCTCTTGAGAGAAATTCGGCTTGGTCAAGTTGATTGCTGTGAACCCAGCAGCGACTTTCTCTTCAACTTGATTGTCTCCAAGGGCATCGAGAGGGTTCAAGACAACTACTACCCCAATAATATCTCCATGAGGGTTTTTGGGAAGCATTCGGAGGTACATTTCCGAGATTCGAGATTTCCCAAAGCCAGTCGCCGCTAGCAGGAACGTATTTCGACCACGAAGGAGATTTAGGACCGTTTCAACTTGAAGCGGCTTTGGTTCTTGTTCGTAATTTTCTCTTGATTGAATTGCTATCTTCTCCCTGACATCTTCATCGGTCGAGGCCTGTACTTTTGCGGGGGCATGAATTCCCTCCATCTCATGAGTCGCTTGCCAAGGAACGTCTTGTCG